CTGATAGGATAAGTGAACAATTGATAAATCTTAAATACAAGACACTATCTGATTTTTTATGGTACAAAGATGTATTTTTGTCCAAAGTTCATAGACTAACCAATTCATAGCCCACATTTGCTAAAAAGGTTAGGAACCACCTTAGTCAATTAGGAGGTGGTAGAATCCTTTACTTTAATTACTCCTACAGATATTTAGTCCAAGTAGTAAACCAAGTAGTCAATCAAGTAAAGCCTTATAAGTAAAAGGAAGACAAGAAATATATGAAATCAAAAAGATTTTCTAAAACAAGAAACACTTTTGCCCCAACCTATTTCAAATGTGGGCAGAAAGGGCATTATGCTAATAAATGTTTTAAACATAAAAATTCCTCAAAAAAAATTAATGAATTAGGAGAAGCAGAAGAAGAAGTATCACAAAAGGAATCTTCTACTTCCTTTGAAGAATGTTGTGCCAACGACAGATGTACTAGTAAAGATGAAACAAGTTCAAAAGAGGAAGAGTCAGAGGAAATTAATGTATTAACCTTGAATGAAGAACATCTTCTAGAAATCCTAGATGAGATCTGATGTAACCGTTTTTGGTTATGTACCATTTTTTGTGATGTATAAAATTTTTGGCCAAGTACCTCGTGTTTGACCTAGTGGTGACGTGCCTTGGTGATGAGCTACTTGGTGGCGAACTCCCTGGGGGAGAACTACTTGGTGACGAACTGCCTAGTGACGCTCCTTGGTGGCGAACTGCCTAGGGGCGAACTGCCTGGTAGCGATCTGCCCGGTGGCGAACTGCCTGGTAGTGCTCCCTGGTGGCGAACTGCCTGGTGGCGAACTGACCGGCAGTGCTCCCTGGTGGCGAACTGCCTGGTAATGCTCCCTGGTGGCGAACTGCCTGGTGGCGAACTGCCTGGGGGCGAACTGCTTGGTGGTGAACTGCCTGATGGCGAACTGCCTGGTGGCGAACTGCCTGGTGGCGAACTGCCTGGTGGCAAATTGCCTGGTAGTGCTCCCTGGTGGTGAACTGCCTGGTGGCGAGCTACCTGGTGGCGAACTGCCTGGTGGCGAACTGCCTGGTAGCGAACCGCCCGGCAGTGCTCCCTGGTGGCGAACTGCCTGGTGGTGCTCCCTGGTGGCGAACTGCCTGGTGACGAACTGCTTGATGGCAAACTGCCTGATGGCGAACTCGTCACTTAACTTGCTCCTAGGCGGTCTGCAACTCAGAGGTTGGTGGAGCTCCCTGGTGCAGCGCAACCCGACTACCCTCHGCGTRAGGTGATTYTCTCTCCTTTGTAGACGGCGGGAGCTGAGGGACCTGCGGGAACTGAATCAGAGGACCCGGGGGTATTTTCCCGGCGGGGACTCTCCGATGCCTAAGTTAGCATTCTGATTACAGA